GTTGAGCTCCAGGTTTTCTTCTAGCTCAAAAGCAAAAACTCGAATGTACCTCATTATCTGTATGTGTTATTTGTTCCAGCTCATGAACCATGAAGACATAAACCTTCAATCTTTATAAATATATAAAGCCATCGCAAATCAATTTTAAAGTAGAATTCAAAGTTCAGTTAGACAGCTTTCTTACTATTTTTTAAAATAAATTTTTGATATAAAAATTTTTAACCACGAAAAAATTATTTGAAATAGTAAAAAAACTGATCCAAACTAAGCCTCATTTGATTTGCTTTTATACTATATTTAGCTTATTTAAATAACTTACAAATCAACATATCAACCCATTTTAAAAATCGGGTTGGGTTCAAGTTCAACATATCAATCCATTTTAAAAATCGGGTCAGGTTCGGGTTGACCCAACAGCCCGAAATTGACACAAACTCCTATTTGACTCGAAAACTCGAGATTGGCTCATTTTTACCCTATTTTGACCCGAAAATCGAATATAGAGATTTAAATTTCATTTGAGATATCTTTCTTATTACTAAATTTTTATACTGAAAAATTATTTTAAGACGCAATAAAAAAAAAACTATATCACACGAAACCTTAATAGATTTGAAGGATATTTGAAGATATAACAAATCTTCTTACCTGCAGCCAAACAATCAAAGAAAGAGTCCCTTTGCTTCAATTTTGGAAAGGCAAAACACAAAGTTAATAAAAGTGTCAATCTAACCATTACAAAATATTAGAGATGGAGCAACATAATATAATAAAACCTGCTATCAAGTTTTAAACACAACCATCTTCCAAACACAACATTTCTGAACATCTACACAGCCATTTTCTAGCTTAATTTTGTATGGTTCATTATACATTCTCAGAATAAGTCTTTCATCGAGAAAGAACACAAAAGCCAAGGATGAGTTGCCGCAATTTGCTGCAATGAGGACCTCCATTTCTACCTGTTAACCGGCACCGCCGGCTTCGGTCCATTGTTGAAGAGGCCATCATAACCTTCATGAATGTTCCTTTGGAACTGAGATTGGCGATCAGAGGAGGAGAAGCCAAAATGGTGCTGAGACTGGAAGATGCCCCTAGGTCCCCCACTGTTAGAAACACTTGTTATTTTCGGGCATATCGGTGCGGCGGAAATAGAGTTCGACAGGCCAATCGTTCTGCCGGCGTGACGGTCTCCGGAGCTTGCCAAATGTTGGACTTCTGCAGTTTTTGAAGAAAGCTGTGACTGTTGCTCCTGAGGTTTCTTGGTGTTCAGGAATCTTCCACCGATTCCTCTTGCCCTCTTCATGGCATGCTGGTGCCGAGATTCATGAAGATATGGCTGAAAAGCAACAAAAAATATTTTAAGTTGCATATTTAAGGTTCCACAACAGTAACTCCGTCGAATTTTACCTTGCGGGTTTTCACAGTTTTGCTTTGAGACTCTAACTTTGCGCGGTGCTCTCGTCTACGGAGGATGGCATGGTATTGCTTAGCATTAACATATATAGGTTCTTCCCCTGAAGGCTGAACAGGCAACGCAAAACGTGAAGGTGGCATACCAATCATTTGAGGATGAACCTGATCATGCAGATAGATAACATTATAGTTAGCATGAATATGGTGCAGTAGAACTCATTTTTGATAACGAAGAAAGGGGCGCTAGCACTCCAATGTTTCGTTTGGGACGTCTTTCTTATTGCTTCTTAATGCAGCTTTCTAGAACAAAAATTTTAATTATTGAACTAAAAAGCTGCTTTAAGAAGCAGCAAGAAAGCCATCCCAAACGAAGCCCAACTCTAAGCAGAAAAGCAGCCTATGACATTGAGCCTGGAGAGGTCTGAGGCTTTGCGCATACAGAAGTACTTGATAGGAATGGCTATTGTTGGCGGGACCAGATTTACATTGTTTATAATATTATAATGCAATCTAACATGCCTAACTACAAGTTGTAGAAAACAACAACAACAACAACAACATCAAGCATTTGTCCCACCACGTGGGGTCGGCTACATGAATCCTTTTTCGCCATCGTCCTGTTAAAAGCCAAATTCTCATTTAAATCTAATAAAGAAAGACCGTTTCTAATATTTTCTAACCAAGTCTTTTTAGGACTACCTCTACCTTTCTTAACATAAGTAAAATCTAATAGACTAATACCTCAACTTTCCTAACCGGGTCATCGGAAGGCATCCGTTTAATGTGACCAAACCATCTAAGGCGACTCTCTCTAATCTTATCTTCCACCGGACAAGTTGTAGACATGACAATATATTATAACATTTTACACCAATAAGATCTGAAAACCAATTGTCAACAGGTTTGGAACGATGATTAACAATTGGCAAGACCAGGTTGACATTGCTTGGTAATAATTATAATGATATCTACCGAACGAAATTACAAGTTGTAGACATAACACTAAATGTGAGTATTTTACTTTAAATCAATAGGGTCTATCCAAAAACAGCACCTAAACAACCAACATTCACTTCAAAACAGCAGCTGAAAAGGCTCACAAAAAAAGAGAAAAGCAGCCACGGGAAAAGAGCAGGCAACACAACAATTTTCAAAAATCAGCACAAGAAACGGATAAGAGAATTCACGGGAAAGCAGCCAGGGAGGGACCCAAAGAGCCGACACAGAAACCTGGAAGGATAAGCCACGGGAACACAGCCAGGGAGCAAACCGAAAAGGCACACAAGGGAATTCACGGTTCAGGAATCCAAAAAGCCATCTCTAATTAACTACAACACACTAAATATCAAGCACCAAGCAAAATGGGCCAAGCCCATTTAGTAAATTTCAGCCCACCTTTTAATTGCCCAAATATGGGTATGACTTGCCTGCATCAATTCTCCTCCGGTTGAAAGCTCATCTCCCAATGAGGTTGTTTTAGACTTTTTTTACGAGGCAAAGGATCTTGTACACATACATCTTCAAGAGCAACCAATTAATGGATACAACCAAGACTCAACAAAACTTATAATTAAAACTAACATGACTCACAAACAAAACTCACATGACATCTAACTTGACACCAAAATCTATGATATACTAACTTGCTTTGATACCAAATTGATGCAAGCAAAAATTTAGGAAAAGCCCCAAATTTTTGCAAGCAAAACACATGCTTCCTAGGATAAAGAAAATACACAAAAATATGAAAAATACAACAAACTACAACTTTTTATAAGATAAAAAGACTTACAAACTTTGATGCTTACACAAAATAAAAACACATAAAGGAGCTTGCATTCGTTGAGAAGAAAGATACAAGTGGGGTGGACACTTGCGGGAAGAAGAATGAGATTAGAAGCCGAGACGAAGAGCGGAGAAGCTCTCAAGCCTTCCCAAGAAGTAGAAGAAGAAGTGGAACAAGCTCGCAAGTTTTTCCAACAAAACCATGCTTTCTATTCCAAAAATCACTTACATATCATCTCTTTCAAACATACAAAACACCGTTTATTTATAGGAGAAAAGACGTCAGACAAACAGCCCATAATTACCCTAATTAAATTAAAACCAATTAAAAGAGAGAAAATTGAAGGTCAAGAGGTTGTCCAAAAACAGCACCAAAACAACCAACATTCACTTCAAAACAGCAGCTGAAAAGGCTCACAAAAACAGAGAAAAGTAGCCACGGGAAAAGAGCAGGCAACACAAAACAATTTCCAAAAATCAGCACATGAAACGGGTAGACGAATTCATGGGAAAGCAGCAAGGGAAGGGACCCAAAGAGCCAACACAGAAACCTGGAAAGAGAAGCCACGGGAACACAGCCAGGGAGCAAACCAAAGAGTCACAAAGGGGAATTCACGGTTCAGGAATCCAAAAAGCCATCTCCAGTTAACTACACCACACTAAATACCAAGCACCAAGCAAAATGGGCCAAGCCCATTTAGTTAATTTCAGCCCACCTTTTAATTGCCCAAGTATGGGTATGGCTTGCCTGCATCATATTGCCACAAGAAATTATGGTGAACATTCAGAAGAACGTGGAAAGTAGAACTCACAACAGCATGAGAACCATAAGCAGCCAAGCCTCCCGTGTACTGTGTGTCAGCATAAGCATATGGAACATAAGACTGCAAGGAAAAACAGGAAGAATTAAAAAAGATGAATTTCAAGGCTGAATCCACTTATGTATATGGGATGTATGCAGCATCAATAGATGATGAAAGACAACCTTTGTATATAGATGAAAAGCGTAGGTCTCAATCAAAGCCAGCAATATATCAAAAACTTACAAGAGACTGGCTAGAATCAAATTTTGTAGGTCTGAAGAAAACTTGTGATTTCCCTTCCAGGAAAACCGGTTTTGTCTGACCCTCTTTGAATTTCTCACGAGCATGTTCATCACCTAGAGTGAAAGAAAATTTAAATAGTCGAAGCAAATAGGATAATCAAGGAGAAAGAAGCTTAAAGGGACATGTATACCAATTATAGATAATGTAGTACATAATTTTAAAAAAAAGGTTTATAGCACTAATAAGAATTGTTGCATGCTAATGCTTCCACCATTGGCTAAGGGGAATTGAGCAATCGAATTAAATATTAAAGGGGGTTATGATTGCCTCTCCTTTTCGTTACCATTGATATGTTCTTCACAAATTCATTTTATCAATGACTAATAATGGACGGTTGATGTGTGTAAATACAACTAGAAGGATTATCCTATCAATAGGATTCAATTTACAGATAATATTCTTATTTTTTATGAGGCAAGTTTTCAATAAACTAGTTATCTCAAACTGATTTTGTAAGTCTATGAAGGTAATTTTGGTCTTAAATTAATGATCTTAGTTGTTTTTTTCGAGAAAATTGAATGGTAACAGGGAATGATATTGTTTTTTATTTGGGGTTGTTCTTTGCACAAGTTTCCTTCCAAACATCTTGGTATTTCACTTGGTTCTAAACAAATCCATAAGTCCTGGTTATCTCTTATCGACAAAATCAGTCAGAAGTTGAATAATTGGAAAGGCAAATATCAAAGGGTCCATGGTAGAGTTATTATATACTCGGTGTTGATCGTGTTGCCTTCCATTTCTCCATGTTTCAACTCCTAATTGGGGGACTAGGAGAGTTAAGCTTTTTGAGGAAATTTCTTTTGAAATAATTGCGAGGGAAGTTGCCTAAATTTAATTAAATGGAATTCTTTGTGCAGACCTAAAAAATTAGAAGCACCTTATTTTAGATTTAAGCCTAGGTTATCGAATCTAGAAATCTATCCAAGGAATATTTTTTTCATCAGGGATACAGCCATTCAAGGCAAATATTTGAGAAGGAAAAATATATTTAATTTTCAGTGGAAGAAGCATCACAATGGTTCTAATTTTATCAAGAGTGTTATTAGAGTTTCTGAGCCCTTTTTTGTTAATGTAGCTTAAAAGTCAATAATGGCACTTTCGTTGGATTCTAAAGGGATACTTGGTTGTTGGATAAAGTGCAACGTAAAATCTCAGAATTCTAATACTACAAGATGGTGCATCCATAGAAAAAAAAGTATCCATTCTAGTTTAGAACAGATTTGGAGGAGTTAATTGATCTACTTGCTACAATATATGTTAACACAGCTAAAGATGAAACTAATTGCCTTTGGTGGAATATTTAGCATGAAGTTCGTTTATTCCCTTTTCATGCATGTTGGCATTTCAGCCGGATCAATTGATTGAATTTGAAAATCTATTGCCCTCTTCTAATTCGTTCTGTGGCGCTTTTTTTACTTGAGAAAAATTCTTTGCAAGGGCATGTGTAAAGCTTATTTTGAGACTCTGTAAAAATAATTTTGATCATGGGTATTTTCATCTACTCTTTAATTGTTAGTCCATTAGAAATGTTGGAGAAGCCATTAGATATCTTAGTGTTTTTACTCCTTTTAGAAGTACTAAGATCAACGAAAAAAAAAAATTCAGTACAATCAACAGTTTATTTAATTTTTGCATCTCTTCTTCTCGTATTAAAAAAAATTAGTTGATAAACTCAAAAAGGAAAAGGTGACATATCCACAATTTAAAAAAAAAATGCACTTCTCCACAACAATTTTATAGCAACTTTTACATAAAGCTATAGCCGACCAAATGGATCATTAGACAATGGCGATTGAACCTTCCTCAACTAATCAAAATCAATTGAATCCAACTTTAGGGAAGTAGGGTTATAATTTATTTAATTAATACCATAGATGATCAATCAAGTCCAATTTACCCCAATTTTTTTAGGTAATTGGAGGATCTCAATTTACATGAAATTTTAAAGACTTGCTATTTTTATATAAATAACTTCTACCTTCTATTATATTTACTCATTCATTTTTATTTCAATGCAATGTGTCTAGCACTCTATGATGTGATGCAAACTTGAGTTACACAAGATTAAAAGAAGATTTAAACACTAGCTCAACCAATTATATAATCATGTTTCAAATTGAATTTGGTTACAAGAATTCGTAGTGTTTCACTTTGTTTAGGCAAAGGAATTACAAGGAGAGAACCAAACTATTTAAGCAAATACAAAGGAAAACATAAAGTTAAAAGCTAGTAAATGGAATCCCACGATTAATACGGAGTTGTTCACCTTGAGACCTTTTCTCTCTTTCCTACGGAACTAGGTTGAGTATCAGTCTGAATGATGTGTGGTGGAGCTCA